TGCAACAGTGGAGGTTGATCCAGCCTTGAAAGCTGCTACTGAGTCCTACAGCTGTTCCAGCCTCTCTGGATTACTTCCCCCTCTGTCTGCATAAAAGCAAAAGAGGCGATTAACAGTAGAAGACAGACCATCATAACACGTATAAATGCAGGTCTGTCCTACAGAGAAACTGCAGAGGAAGTCAAGGTGTCAGTGAGTCCAGCTTCCTGTGACAGGAAGAGGTCTGCAGACCCAACGACTGAATCAGACACGTTCCTGAGAGTTAACAGCTGTGTGATGGCGGCTCACAGGACAACAGCTTCAAGCAGCTTCATAGTGGTCGTAGTGAGAAAGTCTCAGCTGTGAGGAGAAACTTGGAGCTGCAGGTTGAAGAGGACGAGCTGCAGCGAGAAAGAAGACGTCAGAATGAGACGAAGAGGCTCGTCTGGGCCGTGAAACACTGGACTGCTGAAGACTGCAAGAAGGTTTCATGGATGATGGATCAACATTTGAAGTCTTCAGTTCATCATGCAGGACCTTTGCTGTGGAGTAGGTGAAAGGACGGATCCACAGTGAGTGGCATCGACTGTCAAACATGGAGGAGGAAGTGTGACGGTCTGTTTGCTGATCCAGGGTCGGTGACTCGTATAGCGTGAGAGGCTCCCTGAACCAGAACAGCTCCACAGCTCTGCAGCTCCATGCAGGACCCTCTGCTCAGAGCTTCATCCTGCAGCAGGACAATGACCCAAACAGTCCAGCTGTGCCAAGCTTGGAAACACGGAGAGTCCAGCACAGACTGAAACGCCATCGAGCTGGTTTGAACTGGACAGAAGAGTGAAAGCAAAGCAGCTACAAGGTCCACGTTGATGGAACTTCTGGAGCAGACATGCGAGAAGATTTGATTTCTATTGCAGACAGAATGCAATAGAAATCATTCAGCATGTAGAAGAATGTAGAAAGTTATTACTGTTGTTGTTGCTGTTATAAGAACTTGCAGGGACGGTTAATAAGGTGTTTTTTGATTTTTGTGGACCAAATCCTGATCCTTGACGACCACACCTCAGATTTATCCTGCAGAAAAACTTTACCTAAAAATAAAGTGAATTTCTTTTTTGTGTGTGATTAACAGAGAAATACTTTGACATGAAAAAAGTTCAATGCAAAGAAGGACTGGACCTCTACAAGAAGTTTCTAACACGAATGACAAGAATCTCCGAGTTCCTCAAAGTCGCAGAGGTAAGTCTTATTCAGCCTGTCGGGGAGCGTGTGATCATTGAGATCAGCTGGCTCTTGTTTCTCAGTCTGATTTTCGGTTTCTTTGCCTTCAGCAAGTTGGAATTGATCGAGGAGATATCCCAGACCTGTCTCAGGTGAGCCTTCACACAAACACAGTCGTTTAGTGCAGCAGATAACATGACTCAGCACTGCGCTGTTTATTATCGCTTTTCCTGAGTAAAAGGTGGAGAAATTAATAACGCACATGTAACTGTGGAGCCACCACAATTGAAAATAGTTGGAGCAATTCACTAAAACCTGCAAACATATGTGGAAATACAGTTTATAATCTTTCACAGGTGTTTCATATACGAAGGTGAAATTTCACTCCAATGTTAAACGGTGATGTCACGCAGATGATGTTCTGAAGATTAATGAACAATAACATAAAATGATCAGGTGCAGGAAGCAGCCAGTGACCAAAGCAGCACTGTGCTGTTGTTAGAAAGACGTTACAGGCTAACATACATGAGCGGCACATTTTCAAATAAACTCGCTGCATTATGAGTGCAGTCACAGACGTTTACAATCTCAGCAGCATGGTTGTAAATGATGCAGCAGTGGGCATGTTATTAAATGTGGCTGTTATTGTCCTTTCACAGCTGCTAACTCGCTGAAGCTTCAGTGCTAACAAGCTTTAACCCACTGCTGTTGCATGTGTTGCATAGGGCTGGGCGATGTGGACCAACAATCATGTATCGATATTCTTTAGCTGAATGTCTATGCAATATATATCTTTACATGTTTTTCTACCCATAAAGGAAAAACAGAGTTCTCAGTCAAAGCTACGTGTGCGAGATGTCACATGGACACTCAGCTGCAGATGCAGATGCACTCAGATATAAATGATTGGTCTTTATTAAATAAAATACAGTAATGGTGTTTTTCAGCTTGTGAAAGGATTTTCAGTGTCGGTGTGAACGTTGTAACCTTGAAGCCTGATGCTGTTGACAGATTAGTCTGGCACAAAATCAGGAAGACGTACGGTCGTTGGCGTGTTCTCACTACAGTTTGATTGTCATTTGATATCATATTTCT